TTTGTGTGGGAATAACCAGCTGACAGCCCATCCCATGGGTGGTACCAAAATGTTCTCTTTTTGTTGGAAAGTGCACTTTGACAACCCCACAAGCAGTAAACATTCTAGTGACAGGACAAAGGTGCAGCCCTGCCTTGGGCTGTGGTTCTGTGTTTGTTTTGGATGGGAAGCACCTGTGAAGGAGACGTGCAGTTCCACACCTCCAGGGATTCCTTGGCGCATCTGTGTGTGTGGGTTTTTGCCAGAACTGTTGGCTCTCCTGGGGGTCAAACCACAACAGCTCCTTTTTGCTGCTGTTGTATGAGGTTGGGAGGGTGGAGATTTTTATTTGGTTTGTTAATGTTGTGGGAGCAGATTTCTTTAGACAGAGTTGTGCTGGGAGAGCCTGGGAGTTCAGGATGTAAAGCTGATGGCTTCAGGTGATTGTTCCTGAGCTCAGCACAGAAAGTGCAGCTCTGGCTGGACATCCTGGAGGGGCTGTGTCCACCTGGACACCCTGGAGGGGCTGTGCCCCATTGATGTGGGGCAGTTCCTGCAGGTTCAGGCTGACAGGGTGCCCTGCTAACCACAGCCAGGGTTTGGGGTCAGTTTGATCCTCCCCAGAGGTGGGACACAGGGAGTGTTGCAGAGAACTTTCTTGCCAGAGCTGGGTGGTTTCAAAGATCACCTGAGGTGTGTGTACAGCTCCTGCAGAGACCAGCCCCAGGAAGGTGTGTTCTTGCAGCTCACATGAGGGTTTGCCATGATCTTTTTTTAATTAATTCAAGTAGTTTCAAAGTCCTCTGAATAAATGTTCCCCAGAATAAGCCTCAGACATCCATCTGACACCTCTGGTGTGTGGGGCTTGTTTTGCTTGGATCTCTTGGTGGGGTCTTGTTCAGCTCTGCATTGGGCACAGTGTGTTAATCCTGCCTGGATCAGAGTCCAGAATCCCTGTGGCTGTTAAATCAGCACGTGTGTGTGTGGATCTGTGTGTGCAAGGAGCAGCTGGGAGAGAGCCAGAAGTGTGCCTTGCTCTCAAGTGATGACTCAGTGGTAGCTGTGCCATGAGCACCAGGGCAGTGGGATTCCATTCTCCTGCTGTGTTTATCTCATTTCCATTGGATCAAGCTGTGGCAATAATTTTTTCCCTCCCTCAAGGCTTGGCTGTGGGGACTGTCACAGCCCCTCTTGGTCCCTGCTGGCTGTCACTTACAGCTGTGCACACCTGGGGCTGTGGGATGCAGGTCAGGGAGCAAGTCTGGCAGGGAAACAGGAAGGATTTTTCAATAAGGATGATGACAAATGAATTCCAGCCCTGCAAGTGTTTCTGACCACGTGCTGTCCTTGCTGATAGATCCACCACAGGCATCCCCAAAGTGCTGGGCTGAGAGCTCCTCGTCAGGGCAGATGCTGCAGCTGTTCTGCAGCTGGCCTGGAGGGTACCCCCACCCCACCCTGCACTGGAGAGAAGAGGGGCAGGACTTGGAGAACTCCAGCTGGGTCATCAGCTCCACCAGCTCCTCAGACACCCACGTGGAGACCCTCAACAGCTCCCACCTCGCCCACAGGAAAGTCTTCACGTGTGTGGGCAGCCACGTGGTGAAGCAGGAGCAGCCTGCCTGCACTGTGGAGATAAGTGAGTGCTTTTGCTGCCTCATTAACTGTAATGAAGCTGGTGAACAGGGGCAGGTGGGTACCCTGGGCATTCCCTGCTCTCCAGAGGACTGAGGAAATGAAGGCAGGAGGTGGCATGGCAGGGCACAAGTGCAGCAGGAGGCACAGGTGTCCATCATGGCAGAGCTGTAGCTGAGCTGTGTTTTGTGCCCATCTTCAGGGGCCAACAAATTTCACCCCAGCAGTGTTTTCACCTGTGGAAAGCTCCCACACACTTGTGTGACAGTGAGAGGTGGTTTGGGGGCTGTGGGCAGGGATGAGCCATCAGGAGACCTTAAGATGAGGTTTGGCAAGGGTGGGTTTAAGGGTTGTATGTGCCCTTCATGCATCTGAGTGGCTGATGAAAATCTGGGCTGTATTTATCCTCCAAGGGTCGTCAAGGCTTCTCAAGAGCTCTGCTGCTCCCAAGGGAAATAATCCCTGGGCTGCTCTTCTCCTCTCTGCCACCTACCTGCTGGCTACCCCCTCAGACCATTTTTCCCTGGGGATGTGCAGACAGGTGTCAGAAGGGACTGAGCACATGAAAGCTGCTCAGGTCACCCCTTGGGAGGCTCCTGAGTGAGCCAAATGCCAAACCCATAGTGCTCAACTCCCAGACTCCTGCCTGCCTCCCTTCTGTTAATGATTATTAATCAGCCAGAGGCTTGATTGCTCGTTATGTTAATTGCCTCCATCCCCTCCTTGACTCCTGTTTTTGTTTCCTTTTGCCCCGGGGCTGTTCAGAACTCCCTTCCCTGGAGTCTGAGCCCCCTCAGACCTGCTTTGTGGGTGACAACGTGACCCTGACGTGCCGGGTGACCGAGAGCACGCCGGCAGCTCGGCTCAGCTGGCTCAGGGACATCTCCCAGCCCCAGCAGGAGATCCAGCCTGGGGGGAGGTTCCGCATTGCCCAGGAGGGCAACGTGTCCAGGCTCACCATCCAGAACTGCTCCCAGGCCACCGATGGGGGCTGCTACGTCTGCAAGGCCCAGAACCCCGTGGGGCTCAGGGAGCTCTTTGTGTGCCTCACGGTGAAACGTGAGTGGGGCTGTGCCAGGAGGGCCTGGGGGTGCTGCACGCCTGGGAATTCCTCATCCACCTGTGTCCCCTCTCTGCAGAGCCGGTGAACATCGTTGGGGTCGTGGGTGCTGTGGTGGTGCTGTCCCTCCTGACTGTTCTCACCGTCACTGGGGTTGTGTTGTACTACAATCCCCTCCTGTGCCTCAGAGGTAGGGGTTGGTTCCTCCTTCCTGGGGCTCTGTCCCTGACCCGCTTGTCCCTCCCTGCGTGCTGGAGTCAGTCAGGGTTGCCTGTGCCACGTCTGTGCCTCTGCACGGGGATTGCCAGTGACCATCTGGGGAAAGCACAGGGTTGGCAGGGGTTGTCCAGTCAATAAAACCAGTGGCACTCCTAGTGCTGTGGTAATCATGTATCTTCTGAACAGAGAGAGATATAATTCTCTCCCAGGATTTTCCTGGGAAGCTGTGAGAAAGCTCAGAGAAAACAATTCTTATCTTAATCTCTGCAGTGGTTGTGCACGTGTGGAATGTGTTATGGGGATTGTTTGCCAAAGAGTGATTCCTTAATTGGACTTTGGTGATAGTGTTTTAATTCATTGATCAATTCATTGATCCACGTGTGTATATCAGACTGTTTGGCAAGGGTGATGGGTTTATATATAATATACTATAATATAGTATATTATAGCATAGTGTGATAACAATAAAGCATTGATCAGCCTTCTGCAATCACAGAGTCAATGCTCATGATTCCCCATTCAGGAGCACACTGCTACCATACAGAGGGACAGTTTCTAATGTTGTCTCTCTTTTCTCTCCCGTTCAGGTGCTGCATTCAGGTGAGTTGACATTCCTCAGCCCAGCCCCTCATGGCATCACTGCTCAGCCTTCCTGTAGGGTTGGGAACAGGCTCTCCTCAGCTTTTCATCCAGCTTGCTCTGCTCTTCCCAGGAATGCAGACTCAGGGGATGTCCTAGTGCTGGTGGACTCTGAAGATGATGAGGAGGGGAACAGGTCTGAGGAGGCCCTGAGCAGCTGCACCGAGCACGAGGCCATGGCACTGGTGGGAGGGAGCAGGGCCCAGGCTGCTCACCTGAGCCACCTCACAGAAGGTGAGGAGCCCCTGCTCCCTGCTGAGCAGCTGCCAGGGAGGCAGGAATTCTTGCTGGCTGTTGTAGCTGAGATGCTGCTGCTCTGTGCCCTGTGTAGGTGATGATGATGAGCTCCACAGTGGGGTCTCTGCACAGGAAGGGAGAGAAGAGACACGAGGCTCATAGCTCCTATCCCTCCTTGAGGAAGCACACGGAGCTCCAGCTGGAATCCAGCATCAAGCAGGCCCTCACTGTGTGTGGCTGAGCACAGGCTGTCAGTGTCCTGTCCCAGGACACTTCAGGCACCTCTCTCTCCACCTGCCACTTCCACAGTTTCACTCCATCCTTCTCCAGCCTTGTTTCTCCATTTCTTCTGTCTTCCATTTCCCTCTTTGTCTTGGGTGTTCCTAAAACAAGGTGGCACCCAGCACAGGTAGAGCATGGGAACACTCCCTCACTTCAGTGCCTGTGACAGACTCGAATTCCCATATGGGATTCTGGCTCAGTCCCCATGAGCAGCTCTGGGATGGACAAAGGCACCACGGGGCCACAGCGGTCCTGGGGCAAGGGAAGAAACGAGGGCTGTGTGGGCAGGACATGGCTGACACTGACTCTGGGGAGGCTGAATTGTTTGTATTATAAATATTTTTTCCCTCTTCCTTCTGCAGTGTTGCTCTGTGTCCAAGTCAGGAGTTAATCTCTTCCTTGTGTGGGTGCAGGGTAATGGGGACATGAGCACACATATGGGGGGACAAAGGGGACCTGATGGCCTGTGCAGAAGGGGCACTCCTGGAACATGCATAGAGAGGCAGGGGCTGTGCTGGGGTGAAGTCAGAGGGTCTGAGCCATCCCTAGGGTGTCAGAACAGTGGGAGCTGGAGCTGGCCGAGGGGGACAGGGAGGACTGGGGACTGTGCTTGGGATCTGGCTGTGCACAGTGGTCTCTGGAGGGCCATGGAGCCTGAACAGAGGGTTCTGAGGGGCTGGAGTGGGGTCTGAGGGCTGGAGGGAACAGAGTGTGGGTGGAAGGATGGGATGGTTTGAGAGTGGGAGCCCCCCTGCAAGCAGCCCTGGTGCATTCCCTGTGCCCCGCACCGCGCCCTCGCAGCCGCGCTCGGAGCCGAGCCAGGAAAATCCCCGGGAGCTGCGGGAGCCTCTGGCTGCCCCTGGCAACTCTGTTGTGCTGCCAGCACCTCCTCGGCTGTCCCGGTCCCAGCTCCTCCGCAGGCCCCGGGCGAGGAGGAGGCACCGCCGAGATGGAGCCGGAGCTGGAGGAGCGGCTGCGAGAGGCGTTGCGGGACAGGCTGCGGCTGCTGTGAGTGACACCCCTGTGCCCTCCCGTGGCAGGTGACCCAAGGGCTGGCGCCAGGCCAGCGTGTCCTGTGTGCCCCGTGATCTCGGTTTGTGTTCCCATCTCCGGGTGGCACTGCCAGGATGGCTGGCAGGGAGGAGAGGGCGCTGCAGCCATGGGCTGGGGGCAGGCAGGGGGATTCACGGGTTCTCACAAGAAAGCTGAGGTTGTGGTGTGACCTATCCTTCCCTGGGGAACAAATTGAGCAAAGATGGAACCAGCTCCATCTCGCTGGTGCTGGGGGGCTCCAAGCAGGGGAGGCTGAAGTGGGGGGTGGGCAAGAGCATGAATGCAGGCAGGGCTCAGCCTGTGTGGCTCCTGACCCCCGGGTGAGCGGGCCAGGCACAGCGGCGGCCCCGGCAGCCCTGCCCGAGGCACGGTGGCAGATTCCCTGGCCAGGCTCTCCCTCCGCAGCCCGGCCGAGCTGCAGGCAGCCCGTGGCAGGACGGGGACAGCGCGGGGCCCCGCCACGCTCCCTCCGTCCACCCGTGTGCTGCTGAAGAGGCGGGAGGTGGCGGAGGCGGAGCGGGAGCTGCAGAACCAGCGGCAGGTGAGGGCGGCCCCAGTCCCCGGGCGCTGCAGGTGTGCCTGGGGACAAGGGGCTGGCAGGGGTGTCCCCAGCTCCCCTCGGGTGCCCACAAGCCTGGGCGATGCTCCAGGCCCCCTGCCATCCCGCAGGAGTTCCAGCAGCGAATGCAGCGCCTGGCGCAGCGCCGGCAGCAGCTGGCCCGGAGGCGAGAGCAGCACCGCGACGCCGTGCTCAGATTCGAGTCCTTCCTCAAGGTGCCGGGCCGGGGCCGGGGCAGGGCCGGCCGGAGGGTCCCCGCTGACCCCGTGTCCCCGTGCAGGCGGTGGCGGCCCGGCGGGAGCGGGAGCTGCGGCGGGCAGACGAGGAGCGGGCGCGGGCGGCGGCGGAGCGAGCGGAGAGCGCCCGGCTGCGGCGGGAGCTGGAGCGGCTGCGGCGGCACCGGGAGCGCCTGGCCCGGCGCCTGCGGAGCCTCCGGCCCTTCGGGGACTACCTGCGGGACGTGCTGGCCGCGATGGGACAGGTGAGCGCCTGCCGTGCCACCCTGCATGTCCCCAACGCCTCGGAGGGGTCATCCCTGCGGCCTCAGCCCTCTCCCACTGCCCAGTTCCAGGACGTGCCGGCCATGCTGGTGCATTTGGGGGTGCTGGCGGAGGTGCGGGCAGCCCTGGCACGGGAGGCAGAAGCCGGGCAGGAGCAGCTGGCCCAGGGCAGGGCACAGCTCCAGCGGTACCGTCAGGAGAGCAGCACCCAGCTCCTGGGCACCAGGAACGAGCTGGCACGGCTCCACACGCGCCTGGAGGCTGCCCGGCGGGATGTGCTCCAGTGGGTAAGGGGGATGTGGGGTGCCCAGGGACCCCCAGGGAGAGGGTCAGCACTACAGACCCCAGGTGTACTGCACAAGGAGATGCCCAGTGTGGTGGAGGTGCCAAGGTGTGTGGGCTGCACCCTTTTGGGCTGAGCTGAGGATCCCCACTTGCCCAAAAAGCAGCAGAGATACACAGCCAGGACTCCTGGGTCACTCAGGCCTGGCCTGGGGGGCACAGGACACAGGGCAGTGACCAGGGGCTCACTCTGTCCCCCAGGAGTCCTGCTGGACCCACATCCAGAGCACAGCCACCCAGAAGACCCTGCTGCTGGGGCAGATCAAGCTGGCTGTGCTGAACCTCTTCCAGCAAACCACGGCACAGCTCAGGATCCCCACGGACAGAGCCCAGGAGGACACGAAGGCCCAGTTAGACATGGTCAGCACAACCCCCTCCGTGGGGCAGTGGGGCTGGGGACACACAGGGGCACTTACATCCCTGGATGGCTGTGGCATCAGGCTCTCATCTCCACAGGTGCTGCACTGCATGAAGGCTCTGTCTGACATCTGTGCCACTGGCACACACCCACAGCACCACAGGAGTGTCAGGCTGCTTCAGGGCCACAAATAGCCCCTGGGGACTATCTGCCTGCTCCTGGGGCCAGGGAGAGGCTGCCAGGGCCAGCACGGAGCCACAGGACCCCTGTGCACGGAGGCAATTCCTGCAAGTCTGGAAACTCCATGTGAAGAGGCAACATGGACAGTAGTGGCACAGTCACACTGGGGTGGCACCACACCCAGGCAGGGCCAGGGCACTCCTGAGGTTCCCTCCTGCACAGAGCACCCCAGGCAGGACAACGAGGAGGAGGGAGCTGCTGAAGGTGCTTCACATCAAAATACATCTGGCTGTGCAGCCACAGCACCTGCTTCTTCTTGTGTCTCTAGGGAAAGAATCACCCCAAGCGGGCACAATGCCTGGAGCAAGGACGGACAGAAGCTGGGATGCAAAACCAACCAATATTTACTGTCCCCTGCCCAGCTCCCAGTCCAGGTGCAGAGGACGTGTGTCCTACATCCTCTTCCTGAGCTTGCCCTTTTTGGCAGGGCCGGCGCGGCGGCCGAAGGCCATGAGCCGCAGCTCCTGCACGCGCTGCCGCCCGCGCGCCCGCAGCCGCTTCAGGCCCCCGCTCTGCAGGAAGCGCTGCTTGGCCGCCTTCTTGCGCTGCTTCAGGATCTGCTGCTTGTTCCTCAGCTCCGAGCGCACCCTGCCCTGCGCCGGGCACTGCGTGGGGCCTGCAGAGGGACAGGGCTGTGCTCAGAGCCAGGCTGAGGGGAACAGGGCAGGGCTCTGCTGCTTGCTTCGGGTACTCACCCTGCCCACGCCTGTGCTTCCCTCTGAACTGCTCCCTGCTGCGTGGCCCTTCCTCATCCTCATCCCGCTCGTCAACCTTGTACTTCTGCTTCCACTTCTCATAGCTGGGACGGGCGCGTTAAGGGAACATGTGGGGACTCCTCGCTTGACCCCACTGTGCTCCCTCCCCTGGCTGCTGCCCTGGCAGGGGATGGAGCCCTGACACACAGGTCCAGCCCTGCTCCCGCAGTGCCCAGCCCAGGCAGGCAGCAGTGCCCATGGCAGGATACAGGTTGTTCTTGTAGGAGCTGCTGATGTAGCGCCCGCTCTCCGTCCGCACCTTCTTCTTGTCCTCCTGGCCCGTCTGCCCCACAAACCGCTTCTTCTTGCGGTCCCTGCGAGAGACAGAGGGGTGGTGGGACCGAGCAGTGCCACCCCCAGCCCTGATTCCCCCTCCAGCCCATGGGCAAAGCCCACTCACCACTTGAGCAGCTGCTTGTTCTTGTTGAGGTTGTGGTTCTCGTCGCCCATGAGATCCAGCACGGCTCCGGCCGCCTGCTGCTCGAAGGCGCTGCCCTCGCCGCCCACGCTCAGCCTGCCAAGGGGGGTGATGAGAGCAGCCCCACACAGGCTGGGGGGGACAGCAGCAGGAGCCCCCCAGACTTACCCCCGCTCACTCTCGAAGTCCTTGGGCCGGTATGGGATGTAGAAGTCCTCAGCCTGCTGTGCCGGCTGCTGCGGCTTTTTCCTGGGACCATCTTCTCCTCCTCGGCCCCGTTTTCGCTTCTGGCCCCCCACATTGGAGAACACGTCCTGGATGGGGACAGTGGAGGGTTAAGGAGCCATGTCCCCCCAACATGCCCACAAGTCTCTGCACCAGCCTCCAAACCCCAGCACAATCTGGGCCCTGGTGCTGCTAGCACCAGGCCAAGGCAGCTCTGCAGCAGTTCCTGCATCCATGACCCAATTACCTGGAGGTCTTCCTGCTCTCCTTCCCCATCCTGGGGCTCGGGAGGGGCCGGGCACATCCCCTGCCCTTTAAGTGCTGCTGCCCGCTTCTCCTGCTGCCCACGCTGGAACTTCTCAATCAGGGCATGGTCGTGGCGCCGCTTCGATCGCATCACGGTGCTGGCCGGTGTCCGGGACGTGGCATTGATCTCAAAGATGGTCTGTGCCCAGGGCAGGAGCATGATTCCCAGTGAGCCACATGGGCATCCCATCCCATCCCATCCCATCCCATCCCATCCCAACTCACCGCCTTGGACTTGTAGCTCTTAATGCTATCCACCAACTTCAGCCTCTGCAGCTCGGTGTCCTCGAAGCGAGCTCCTGGGGCAGTCAGGCAGGGACAGAGGCACAGATCAGTTTCAGGGGGAGAGCAATGGGGTCCCCTCCCTCAGCGTCCCCCCAGCACTCACTGAAGAGGGGGTGCATGCCCAGCTGGGACACATCCAGGTCCTTGGCCCTCTTGATGGACTCGGGCGAGGGGCCGGGCCGGGAGCGCAGGTACTGCTTGTGGGCGTTGTCAGCGACGCGGCGGAGGCTGCGCAGCTCCAGAGAGCTCTCGTGGTCCGTCAGCAGCAGGCATTCCTCATCATCCACCAGGCTCTGGGGCACACGGCCCAGGACATCGCCAGCATCTGCAGCCCAGGGCACAGCGTGTCACCTCCCCAGCACCCAGCCTGCATTTCTCAGAGCAGAGCTGACAGCTCCAGGGAGCTCGGCACTGTTCAATCAGCATCCCCCACACTCATGGTGTATTCACAGCCCCCAATACCCCATTTTCACCACCACAAGACCACAAACTCCAGCACTGGCCAAGGAGAACACCCCAGTGGCCACACAGCCACCCCTCACCTGCAGGCATCTCCTGGGCTCCGGCGAGGACGAGCGGGCGCCCCAGGAAGAGGTGGAGGTCGAACACGTAGGGCATCTCATCAGGAGCCACCAGCGAGTAGGCAGTGCCACTGCGGCCAGCTCGGGCCACGCGACCTGGCACGGGCAAGACGAGAATGGGAAACCATGCCCAGCCTGGCCCCACCCAGGCAAGGGATCCCTGGTGTCCCTGGCAATCTACACATGTGACATTTACCATGGGGGCATGGCTGGGAAGGGGCAACTCTACAGGGAAGGTACCAGTCCTGCTCCCAAGAACCCTCACAGTCCAGCTGGGACATCACTGCTTTGTCCCCAGTCTGTCCCTCAATGCCACAACACAGTGAGGGCACTGGCACCCACCGACACGATGCAGGAACAGCTTGCCCTTGGCAGGGAAGCTGAAGTTGATGACATTGTCCAGCATGGGGATGTCCAGCCCCCGGGCAGCCACGTCGGTGACCAGCAGCACTGGGCACTTGCCCTGGGAGAACTTGGCAATGTTGATCTTGCGGGCAGTCTGGTCCAGAGAGCTGTAGATGTGGGTGCAGCGGATGCCCTGTGCTGTCAGCAGCTGGAAAAGGGGAAATAAATTGGATGGATGTGCCCTCAGCAGAGAGACAGGCCCAGAGACTCCAGAGTGGCCACTTGGACCTCCAAATCCTGATGTGCTCCCTCCTCTCTCTGAGGGGTGAACGGATGCAGCACCTCCATGATCACATATTCTGGGATTTTTCCTTTAACCCAATGAAAGTTCACTGCAGACCCCACACGGGCACCCCCAAATGTCACTCACCTCCCTCAGATACTCTGTGTGGTGCTTGGTGGCCACAAAGACGACCGTCTGGTCCTGGGGTTTCACCACGCTGCGGAGCAGGTGGAGCAGCACGGCCGGTTTGTCGTCCCCGCGCACGTGGAAGAACACCAGCTGCAGCACGAGGGCAGCGCTCAGCCCCGTGCCACCACTGCCACCCTCGTCCCCTCCTCAGGAACAGGGGGATTGCAGGGGGTAGGGGGCACAAAGCCTCTCTTGAACTCCCCCATCTCACCTTGAGCTGCTCACTCAGCTTGGACTCCACGTCCAGGCGGATCAGCATGGGCTCAGTGAGGCCTGTGGTGACACACAGGACATGGGTCACTCAGGGGTGTCCTGCTAGGGACACCCGCTTGGCCAGCATTAATCCAGCCTGGTTCTCCCAGTGCTGGGCTCAGTCTGGCTGTGCCATGTCCCTGTCCCCAGTGCCACCTGCCCCAGGTCCTCACCAGCCCGGGCAAACTCGACGAGCAGCTTGGGCAGCGTGGCGGAGAACAGCACGGTCTGGTGGCAGTCGGGGAGCCGGGCAATGATCTCCTGCAGCTGCTCAGCAAAGCCCATCTCAAAGAGCCTGCAGGGAGGGGATATGGGACATGGCAGGTCCCTTCCTGCGCCTCTCACCTGTGTGGGGACACTGCCAGCCCTGGGGACAGCCCTGCTGACCTGTCGGCCTCGTCGAACACCACGTACTCCACGGTGTGCAGCTTCAGCTTCATCTCCACTGCCACGTGCACCAGGCGCCCAGGGGTGGCTATGATTCTGTGGGGACAGAGAGGGTGACAGGACCAGGCCTGGAGAGGCAGTGTCCCCACACTATCCTGGGAGCAGGTCCCAAATCCAACCCAAAGATGACACAACAGAGAACTAGTTGTCCCACAGGAAGTTGCTCCAAGGGAACAGCAGGAATGCCCATCAGGCACACCAGTGATGTCTCCAGATGGCTGGTGGCCATTTCCCCACTGGGTCCCCTCCCTGTGCCCCAATCACTCACATGTCAGGGTTCTCATGCAGGGCAGCAAACTGGTCCTCCATCCTGTGAGAGAGGGGAGAGGCTGGGGTGGCACTGGGCAGCTCAGCCCCTCACCAGGTTTTGGGGAGGCTCGGGGAAGCAGGGATTGGAGGGGACATGGGGACAGCTTACTTGTCTCCTCCCAGGATCAGAGCTGTCTTCAAGCCAGTGAACTTGCCCAGCTGCAGGGTGAGCAATAAACATATTGGTGGGATGCAGAACCAAACCCATTGTCCCCATTGTTCCCAATCACCCCGTGTCCCCTGTACCTCCTTGGTGAACTTGAGGGTCTGCAGGGCCAGCTCCCGGGTGGGTGAGAGGATGAGGGCGCGTGGCCCGGCCTGGCTGGGCGCCTTCAGCCGCTCGAACATGGGGATGAGGAAACAGGCTGTCTTCCCACTGCCCGTGCGGGCCATGGCCACCACATCCCGGCCACGCAGGATGGCAGGGATGGTCTGTGGGACACCACCGTCACCGTCACTGTCACTGCCCCACTGCCACCCCCTGGGGCAGGGACCCACCGCTCCCCAGGCTCACCTTCCTCTGGATGGGTGTGGGCACCTTGTAGCCCTTCTTCATGATGCCCTTGAAGACAGGGTAGCTGAGGCCTGGGGGAACAGGGACAAGTGAGGGGGCATGGGCAGGAGGGGACAGTCCCTGTCCCAGTGACAGCTGTCCCCTGCCTCACACTCACCCATGGACTGGAAGCCCCCGGATTTCTTCTTCTTCTGGTTCTGGGCCCGCACCATGGCCTGAGTGTCCAGCTCAGCGTCAGCGTCGGCGCCATCGTCCTCCTCGGCAGCCGTAGGGAAGGCGGGCAGTGGGGTCGCAGGGGCCTGGGGAGAGTGGGGGACATGGCTGTGGTCAAGGGTCAGGTCACTGCAGCTCTGCACTGCTGGTGTGGCAGGGAGGGCCACCAGTGCTGGTGACTGGGGGTACTGGGGACAGTGGCACTGGGGACTCGGGTACTGGGGACTCGGGTACTGGGGACACTGGCACTGGGACACGGGTATTGGGACGCTGGCACTGGGACACGGGTACTGGGGACACTGGCTCTGGGACAGTGGTACTGGAACACGGGCACTGGCGACTCAGATACTGGGACACGGCTACTCAGGACACCGGCATTGGGACACTGGTCGTGGGGACATTGGTCGTGGGGACACGCATACCAGGAATACGGGCACAGGAGACATTGGCACTAAGGACACCGGTACTGTGGACACCGGCACATGGACACCGGGGCCGCAGTACCGGGCGCAGGGACACGCCTCGCTCGGGCCGGGCCCGCCCCGTTCCCACCCCGCTCCCGTTCCGTTCCCGTCCCCGTCCCGTCCATTCCCGCCTGTTCCCGCCCGGTACCGGCGCCTGGCGGGGCTGGCGGCGGGCTCTCGGCGCCATGTCGGTCCCGGCGGCGGATCCACGTGTCGGGGCGGGGGCGGAAGGGGCCGGGCCCGGTCGGAGCCCGCCCCGGGGCTGCGGCCATGCGGGCGGCGGGTCCGGCCCCGGCCCCGGTCCCGGCCGGTGGTGGCTCGGCTGCCGCCGCCGCCCGCCCTCCGCGGGGTCCCCGGGGCCGCCGCCGGGTGCGGCCGTCCTTCGTGGACGAGTCGCTGTTCGGCCGGCCCGCGGGGGCCCGCCCGCCGCCGCCCGCCTTCCCGCCGCCCTGGGCGGCTCCGGCGGCTCCCTCAGCGCGCGGCTCCCGGCCCGGCAGCCAGTGCAGGTGAGCCGCGCCGCGGGGCGCTCCCTGCGCTGCCCCGTGTCGGTGCCCTGCGGAGCCCCTCGAGTCCCCCTCTGCCTTCCCCGCTGTAACCAGCCCGTGTTTCTCCGTTTGTCGCCCTGCAAGGTCCCGAAGCCACGCTCCGTCCTTCTGTGACGAGTCTCTGTTCGGTGCCAAGCCGCCGGGCGCTGCCTGGGCAGCTCCGCGGATGAGGAAGGAGGATGTAGCCAAGCTCCACTCGCTGCTCTGGAGCCCCCCGCCCGCCCCGCAGAGCCAGCCCGGCCTGTCCCCACACAGCCGGGGCGCTCCCCTGCGGGCCGTCCATCCCCCGGCCTCAGCGCCCCCGGCCACGTCCGAGCCCGGCCCCCGGGAGAAGCTGTGCGCCTGCAGACATCCCGGGAGCGAGGCTTGCCCCAAGGGCTGGGCTGCTCCTGGCAGAGCACGCTCTCAGTCTGTCAGCCGGCTGAGCACCCCCCCGAACAGGATTCGCCTTTCTTCCAGCCTCGGCACAGAAAGGTGGAGGAACCAGAGCGCTCCAACAACCCCTGCAGCCCCCCAGGGCCCGCTGGTGAGGGCTCGGTCCAACAGCGTGTCCGGATCTCCGGTGCCCAGGAATGCCAAGGCAGCAGGTGGCTGCACAGCCAGACCCCCCTGGAAGTGATGCCAAGTGTCCCTCTGGATGTACACACAGCCTTAATCCACCTGAGGCCTCCCTAAGGCCAAGCCCTTGAGGACCCTGGGCTTTTCCATGTCTGGAAACGAAGGATGGGGCTGCTCCGTGCTGGAAGCCAAGCCAGGAGCCAGAGGTGACCACAGTGCTGGGAGCAGTGACCTCCTGGGTCAAGGCACAGCCCATGGCACCAGAGCAGGAGAGCCTTGGTGGGAGCAGCACCCCGTGATGTGCAGGGGTGTCAGAGGAGGTTCCTGCTGTCTGGGAAATCCAGGTGGGAGGTTGGAGCAGCAGGGGACAGGAATGTTCCCAGTGCAATGCAGGGCCTGTCCAGGCACAGGCACAGGGACATTGTGGGGACAGGCAGGGGCTGTGCAGCTCCCAGGACAGGGGGTGCTGCTGGGGTGGGGTCCCAGGTGAGTCTGGCTGGGGCAGTTGGGGTCTGAGGGCCCTGACAGGGACCTTTGCTGAGAGGAGTCCTGCTCCATCCCACCTGTGCTCGTGCCTGCAGGAATGCAGGGCGTCCCTAGTCTGGCCTGCTTAAGGCAGGTCCAGGCAGGTGGTGGAAACCCCTAGGAATAGAGGCTGCACAGCCTCTCTGGCCTCCTTGCCCCTGCTCCACTGTCCTCAGGGTGGAAATTCTCCCTTTATCCAGTCACAGCATTTCTAGTTTGATTTTTTGTCTGTTCCTGAGCACAAACCTTGGCCCAGCCCTCACGGCCACCTCCTCTTTGCAGGTGTTGAGAGGCTGTTGAGGCCCTCCCAAAAGTTCCCTTCTCCCGGAAATGAGCTCCATTCCCTCTGCCTCCATGCACAGGACGTGCCTTGGTGTCTCCCTGCTGTCCTTGCTTTGTGCCACCAACACCTTATGGACTCCTCTGACGAAGCAGGATGAGCACAGAGGTGAGGAAAGCATGGCCCTGGTCCCAGGCTGGATGGGATTTGTGACACACAAGGACCTGCCCAGGGATTTTGGCAGCTCATGGTGATGAGGAGGTGCTGAGTAGATCCATAACTGTGTGCCTGAGGGTTGTGAGGTGCTCACAGCAGTGCCATGGTGTCACCAAGTGCTCTGAGACAAATCTGGGATCTGTGGGATGCTGCTGAGGGACCTGGGCACTTCCAAAGCTCCTCCACATCTTTGCTGAGGTGGGAAAAGCAGCTCTGTGTGGATGGAGGTGGATAAAGGACCTGGGGTGGGTGAGTGGGGTTTGCAGTCACTGCTCCCTGGGCAGGGAGGCTGCACTGAGGAGCTGCTGGGGTTAATGGGAGTTTGGTAGCTCCCATGCCGAGGGAAACACTCACATTCACCCAAGCACACACCAAACCAGGTTAAGAGCATCATTCTGTCCCAGAAATGATTTTATTGCACCTTGAGTAGCAGCAGGATTGGGCCTTGACCCACTCCAGCAGGTGGAGCTGGAGCCAGGCAGGAGCCTGCACTGCGGGGAATTCCTGCTCATTTCTGGGCCTGATAGGAAGCAAGAATAACCTGATATTATTAAAACCTGAGAAGGTGAGTGAGGATCCTTGTGATTCTCTCCAAGCTCTCAGATCTCTCTCTATGCTTCCCACTGAGGCAATCCAGCAGCTCTTCTCCACCTGGGGTAAAATTGGAGGGACAGGAAACAACTGTGGCCTTCTCAGAGGAGGGGCTGGCAGTACCGGTGTCCATCCCAGCCTGGTCAGCTGTGTTTGGGATGTGGGCACAGTGAGAAGTGTGCAGGCTATGAAGGCTGCAGGACTCACTGGGCTGGGAGAGAGCCCAGATGTGGTTTGGACACTAGATGGAGACAAGAGGGTTGAGGATTGACACAGGAGCAGGAATGCTGTTCAGCAGCAGGTGGGAGATGCAGCAATGCGAGTCCTCAGCAAACTGGGGGAACTGCCCTGGAGTCCAAGCAGCAGAGAACTGAACCAGTGTGATCTGGTTCCTTCCTTGAAAGAGAAAGCCTCTTAAAATAGAGAGATTTAGTCTGAAAATCAAGTAAGCAGTGGCCACTTTACCCCCACTGCTGTGCTCAGGATCCAAGGAATCAGTGGGGGAAACTAGAGCCCATCTCATCAGCCGCGCTTTTCTGTCCCACGCTGGCCCAGGTTGTCACCAAGGCCTTCCAGGAGGTCAGAACTGGCATTTCCTTGCTATTTATACATGAGAACAATATTGTTTAAGTATAAATGTGTTGTTTGCATTTTGTTCCATGATTTTTACTCACATTGGTGCTTTTCTGTTGCCTTGTCCTCTCGTTCTGTCAGAGCTGTGCAGCCCAGCAGGAGACCAAAAGCTGCTCTGTTACTGCTGGAGCTGGTGCACATGTGGAATAAAAACCACATTAAATCTGCATGAAATGAGGTGGGGGAAGTGTTCATTTGTTTCTTCCATGCAGATCTAGCCTGTCACTGGTGCTCAGCTCAGGCCAGAGTTGTTGATACAGGGGCCAAACCCAGCTGGGGATCCTCCCTGCTGCTGCTCTCGTTTTTCTGCCTGCTCAGCACTGACACAAATCTCACTCTCTATCTCTGACCCCACCCTGCCTTGTTGCTTATTGGGATTTGAAGCTGTATTGCTGCAGGGCTGTGTTCCACTGACACCAGCAGAGCACTGGGCTGGAGCGGGACCCTCCAAAAGCAGCAGAGCTGACCCTGGCAGGGTTCGTGTCCTGCAGGACACCTGTGGAGAGCCAGCGCTGCTGGATGCCCCTCACGGCACCCACTGTGCCAGGGCCCGGCTGGGCTGCACTCGGGCCCGATCCATTCCTACCGCCCGCGGGGCCTGAGCACAGCGAGGGCCCGGCTCCGTTCTTCCCGTCTCCGTGCGGCCCAGGGAGAAGGGGCTGTCCCGGCCTGGGAGCACCGCGGGGAGAAGCGGCTGTCCCAGGCCCGCTGCCCTCGGTCCCCGAGCCGCTCCCGCCCGCGTTCCGCTGTTGCCCGGTGACCGCTCCTCTCCTCCCTGACCTTGGGGCGGGGCCTCAGCGCAGCCAATGGCAGTCCCCGCTTCACTCCCCCAGAGCCCACCCCCGCCACCTCAGATCAATCAGCACCCGCGTCTGTCTTGAAGGACAGCGCTTCTATCCAATAGCGAGGCGAATTGTGTGAGGCGGGGAGTGGAGGCGGGGTTAGCGCGGATCCTCCGGCAGGGGGTGGGGGCAGGCTCGGTGTGCGGATTGGCGGGAGCCATGAGGTCCTGCCTCTTTGGGCGGGGCCCGCGCTGTAGCAGCCAATGGGAGGCGAGGGGCGGGGCGCGGAAGAGTCGCGTCGCTGCGGGCGCCGGTTCGGAGGGGCCGGGCCGGACCGGGCCGGGGGGTGCGGGGGTCCCGGGCCGGGCGGTCCCGGGGGGTTTGGAGGGTCCGGAGAGTCCCGAGGCCGCGGGCACGGGGATAGGTGAGGAGCGGGTTCACCCAGGGCTGGGAGGAGGGCGCGGGGAGGGCGCCGGGCCGGGCCTCCCCATCGCGGTGACAGCGGCGTGCCGGTGTCCCTCTGGCCGGACAGGGACAGCGGCTGTGAGCTGTCCCCGTGGCGCCGTCCTGGGCCTGCCTCATCTTCCTTTTCCATCACCTTTTAGAGCGATCCGTGACCTTGTGGCATCGCGCAGTTCGCAAAAGCGCTCCGGGAACTTGATGTGCGCGGACTGCGGGCGGCCCGGGGCGCTGCGGGGCACGGACGGAGCCATGTGTGCCCGGGACTCCTAGCGCCATGCCGGCCCTGCTCCCGGAGCCGCGGCACCTGCAGCTCGCCCAGGAGCGCTTCGTGCTGCGTGCCCCGGCCGGGAGGGAAAGCCCCGCCGTGTGAGCTGAGCCCGCACGGACCCACTGAGCCCGCACTGCCCCGCCGAGCCCTCACGGCCCCACCGATCCCGCTGTCCGGAGATGGGTGCGCACAGCGCGGTGTCCCGGTGCCCCGCAGGCCGCCCCCGGCTCGGGCCGGCCCGGCAGAGCTGCTGACAGCCGCGCCGCCCCAGAGAGCTGCGGAGAGCCCCGGGCCGCCGGCGGAGCGACGGCATGGCGGTGAGCATGGACGATGATGTGCCGCTCATCCTCACGCTGGACGACAGCGGGAGCAGCGCCTCAGCCCCTCTGGATGAGCCGGACCGCGAGGAGCTGCCCAACGAAAGTAAGAGCGCTTTGGCGCTGCCCGCACGGGGTTCGTCGCGGTGGGGTGGCCGCTGCTCCCGTGGGACCGGCAGAGCTGGGCTCGGTGTCGGGGCTGCCCGGTATCAGCGGGTCCGGCTCGGTTTGTTGCTCACCCTGTGACACCACGGGAGCCGCTCGGGTCCTACCAGTGCTTTTTCTATCACACAGTTTTGTGGTTTCCCCCGTGACCTTAAGCCCTTTCCTGCGTGCTGTCCTTCCCTTGGCACCGTCCCACTGCACTTATCTCATGTCTTTTCCTAGCACCACAAACATCTGCGCCTTGTGAGGCTTGTTTTGTCTGTTTCTAGTTTACGTCCTGATTTTTACGAGAAGGGAAGTGTTGATAAATCCCTTCCACGTCTTTGTTGTGTTCTTACCAAAGAGCCTGGAGTACTTTTAGACAATATGTGCTGTTCAGTGGGGCACAGCCAGCCTGTGAGCACTGGCAGGGGGAAACAGCAGCCACCATCCCTCAGAAGCTTTGCTTTTCTCCTTTGTGTCTTCATTAAAACCCTCACCCTGCAGCAGATGTGTCTGAGTGTGTTC